TATGTATCAGGCTACTTGGGTGGATGATAGAGGAAGTACACATACTTAGGTAGGGCTGGCAGGTTCCTGATGATATCCGAATAAGTGAACTTGGTAAAGCCTAACCGTTTTATAGTCTCCAATAATGCTCTGGTAAAAGCACCTCGACCTCCGTCCTCGATGGCGAACTCGCTCTCACCACAGGCAGCCAAAAGCACGTGGGACGAGACAGCTTGATTGTAAAAAGACCTGGTACTCGACGTTTGTTGAGCTCCATCGGTGCCATTCCTCGTAAAAATGTCACTATCCACATTATTGGGGAGTGGTTTAGTGAGGCGGATCGCCCTGGTTCGACGGGTGCCTTTCTGACGACCTCGGGTGACCCCTCCCGAATGGCAACAGTCAAGAATGACAGTCTAACAGAATAAGATGAGAATGATCAAAGTCGAATGTCAATTACTTACTATGTTGTCCCCTTTCGCCTTGCGAAGTTCCTCGAGCAAAGCACAGAAACCTCGGTCCGTGATGACATTGCTACCGTCGGCATAATTTTGCGGTATAAGCGCCTGGATCTTCTTTCCTTCGAGGCCCCAGTCTACAGGAGGCTCAGCCTCGCCCCCATGGCCTGCATAAAAGATCAGAATAGGATCTTGGCGTTCAATCATCTCGTCATGAATCAAGCTGTTAATTGCTTCGATGATAGAATCACGTGTGGCTTCATTATTATGAAGAGAAATAATCCGAGCGGAAGGATAAACTTCCTTCAAATAGCTTTCCAAGTCTTTGGCGTCGTTCACCGACCCCAACAATCGATCGTTAGGATCAAGGTAGTCATCGATGCCTATGAGCAGGGCACTCAGGTGGCGGGGTTGACTTGGGGAGAGTTCAGTCACTGGGGCGCTTCAATGTGAGTGTGTAGTATGCACGTACTCGTCAATGGATTCTTCGGGGAGCTGGCTCGGTCCAGTGGATTTGACAGGACCCGCCCCCAAAGTTATTATCTTTGAATTATCTCTTTTCAAGCCGAATTTGCTAGTAACATAATGAACTACGCGCTGCCACGGCATCCGGATAACTTTGGCAAGTGACGTTTGGAAGGAAGTGAGGGCGGTGAGGCCTTTATCTGGGCGTCAAATTCTCATCGAGTTATATAGTAATGAATGAATTGTTCAATTTATGGCCAACCAGCAGTCTACACTGTATAGGCTGGTTCAGGGTCGCACTGCCCTAGTTTAACCATTGAGATCAAAACCAGCCATCTGCAATTGGGCAGCATCAGGTGCGCCGCAGCTTTGGTTCCTCTCTTCAAAAGGCTGGCTTTCAATATATGGCTCAGCAGTATAATTGTATAGACTAGGGCTACACGCGATACTCATACACTCATTCAAGTACTTTAACCAGCGATTATATACACATTCATCTGAACATGTCTAGGCTTGAGTAACATGCGTAAACCTCCACATGTATGGGTCTATACAAGCTCTCATAATTAAAGGGCTGATATCTCAAACTGGCCAATCTGAGACTAAGGTTGTGGAGATAGTCACACTCAATAATAGAGTTCAAATGAGCAAAAGTATGAGTTCTATGGGTGCCTAGCCTCCAATACATCAAGATTAAGACTCGCTTCAGTTATTTTCTTACAACTACAGTGATTGAAACCGCATCCCACTCTTCTTTTCCCCATTTGTATCTTCTCGTTTTCCGAGCATCTCCAGGAAATGGGGAAGGCTGCTCAATATCGGAAAGATCTGTCGGTTTGCTTGTCAAGAACAGCTTGAAGACGCAGATGTCTATATCCTGTTCATCTTGAACGACTTTTCCGCTCTGATAAACCTCTTCGTCATCTCCAACGCAATGGGTCCATGGAGTTTCGCCTACTCTCCCATAGCCGATTGTAAAGGTACCTTTAGGTTGAAGTGGCGCCTCATGATCCTGCTCAGCGACAATTGGAGGTGTATAATAGGACTCTGAAGATTATATCAGTCATCTGTATCTCTGCTGTGAATGAAACGATATCTACCGATGCTCAAGTCACTGCACTCGAACAGGAAGAGGTGGGGATATAGCGGGAGAGGCGAGTTATTGGTGATCTTGATTCCGTATAGAGTTTCTCCAGCAGTAACCTCAACCAAACCATTTTTGCAAAGGTTCCCTGCATCCGCATCTTGGGCCATTGGACCAAAATTTCGGTCCAGTGGCCTTTTGACTTTTACAAATTCTACGTCGACGTACTCGCGAAGCACTCCATCCTGAGGTGCACGTGTCAAGTGTGTGTGAAAGTCACTAGCTGCTTGAATGACACTGCGAACAATGCTGACTTCTGTCGACTTGACACGGTATGGCATGCGAGAATACCCTCTACTTTGGAAATCTTTATTTAGATTGTTGAAAACAACATAGTCGTCCTCAATATCGACCTCGATAGAAGCCTTTTCTCTGTCGACGAAGGAGTACTGGTGTAGTTGAGCTGCACTGCTGACCATGTCTTTCTCGAGGTTCTTGCGAA